ACTACAAAGTGAGACAAAGACTGAAAGCATGGCAAACCCTTCAAGAAATCTAGTTATGAGGACAGAGAAGAACATAGAGGATTTATAACTGAGGGAGAGTTTTTATTTTATTTTGTTTTTACTGCTTACACATGTTTCTTCAAAGCAAGAACCCAACAGAAAACAAAAGGTTACAAAAGATACAAAAGAAAGGATGCATCAGTAGAAGATGTTTCTGATGTAGCAGAGGATGGGATGATGAAAGACAACCTTTCAACAAAGTTGGATACATCTTAAAAAGACATCAAATTGTAGAAGAGTTAAATACATTTTCTACTCATAAATTTAAGTAAGTTCTTCTAAGACAAAAATTATGAACGCCTCTAAGACAAACTCAAAGGGAACACTAGAGAAGGCATATAAGCTCGCTGGCAACCGCGTCGGTCTACATGTGAGTGGAAATGGGGGAAAGTCAGTAATGAACATATGGACTGAGTTCAACCATGTGACCATGTTCCATAGTCGTCTGTCTACCTTGAGATGACAGAAAGAAGAGTAAGGGCTGGTTGGTCCCAAATTTGGAGAGACCTGGGAACTCCAGAGCACATGGACATTGACCTAGCCACGGAGGGCTACAGCTGAGAGTGAAGCGTCCAGCTGATATGAAGTGGGAAACGCAAAAGAACACCCAAACTTGCAGACAGTACCCATTTGACCTAGCTTCGATGGTTTGATAACCAAAGTTCAAATAGAGAAAGATACAGAAATTTGAAAAAGGAAGCAAGTGTAAATTGCTACAATTTGATGAACTTGACATATTTATGAATGTAGTAGCTCAAAATACCAACTGAGAGGGGAGGAGTCTTCACATCACAAATCAAGCATATCCCCTCTGTGTATAGGGTTGATAGGGATGGGCAACTTAGACATTGGCTACCTAAAATGGGGGGCTAGAAAAGGCACGAAGTGACTGGCTTACAAGTTTTTTCAGTAGAGAGTTTAGTTTCAGAGTGTGTGGGGGAAGGCAGAAGCCCCACTCAATAGTTTTCATCTTGTCTACATGTGTCAGGTGAAAGGAGATGGGTCTAAGATGCTTATGATTCAAAGTGAGAAATTGTTATCACAACTAATTGCGACTGTCACAACTGAAGTTTTTTAACATAAAGGGGGAAGTTGCTAATCCAACATTCTAGGAAAAGAGGACCTCAGAACCATCAAAGGAGAACAGCATGAGCGGAATGTAGGACCCTATCCAGAGAAGCAGTGACAACAGAAACGGAGGCAGATGAAGACATGGAGAGACAGCAGCTGAGGACTCTAGACTGAAGGAAAGAGAAACTGTGTGCTGGCAGCCAGGAGGCTGGCTTTCAGAATATGCCCTTTAGTTGTTTAAATGAGTACATACTCCTGAGTGCTTTTGTGTACATCAAAAACAAACAAAAAACCCAGAGGAAATATAAACAAATACTATTAAATGATGAGGCACGGAGGGGATTATAATCACTACAATGAAACAAAATATAATGGGATGAGTGCAAAACTAATATTCTCCTCCCATGTAAACTATCACTCAATTCACAATAAAAGCTTAAAAGAAAATTCTTTTAACATTTCTTTCAAGAAAAGTCAATAAATTCTCATTGAATTAAAAAAAAAAAACGATACAGGCTTAGATGTTGTTGTTGTTGTTAGGTGCCATCGAGTCGGAACCGACTCATAGCGATCCTATGCACAACAGAATGAAACAATGTCTGATCCTGGGCCAACCTCACTACTATTGCCACACTTGAGTCCATAGATGCTGCCACCTGGCCAATCCATCTCGTTGGGGTCTTCCTCTTTTTCTCCACTGCTCCATCTTACCAAGCATGATATCCTCTTCCAGCGACTTTTCCCTCCTGACAATATGTCCAAAGTATGAGAGACGAAGTTTAGCCATCTTGGACTCTAAGGAGTACTCTGGCTGCACTTCTTCCAAAACAGATCTACTGGTTGTTTTGGCAGCCCATGGCACTTTTAGTATTCTCCAACACCATAATTCAAAGGCATCGATTATTCTATGATCTTCCTTATTCATTGTCCAGCCTTCGCATCCATATAAGGTTATTGAAAACACCATGGCTTGGGTCAGGCGCA